ATGTACACTCTAGTTCAAAACATATTCAGGAAGGGAAACTTTAAACACAGAATTAAAAGCCGATTGTAAAATTCTACACAAAAGGAGGCTTAAAACACACTTTTTAATTTAAAGAAAAATGCAGTATCTTGCAGCAGAAATTAGGCGTAATCAAGGGAAAACTACCAGGCGTCCACCAATCGCGGCAGCAGGAACGCCACACGTCGTCCAAAGGACGCCTTCGTTTTAGCCAGCAGCCCTCTCCTCCCGCCAAAGCTGTCCCCAGAGCGTCAGGTAATAACCCAATCGGGGACTTACGAGTTCCCCCTTTTGGTCACCCCCACCCGACACGCACACACATCCACCTGCGTGGAGGTGTCAAGGCGACTGGAAATGGTTAACAGTGCCCAGCAGCGGCGAGGGAAACAAACGCCCCTGACAACCCACAGCTGAGTAAGCAAGAGCTGTTTATTCACGAGCGTGTTCCCTTTGGAGGCTGTCGGCCAGCCCCTGAAAGCCCGGGCACATCTGAGGAGGTTCGCAGGGAGGGAGAGATCATCTTCTCTCCCCACACCCACACCCAAGCACACACTCGCTCGGGTGGGAACCGGCGGGTCCGGGCAGCGGCTGCCCACCCGCCCCACACGAATAACATCAGCACTAGAGCATCCGACCCCTTGCGGGGGTTGTGTAACTCCCCCAAATGAGCTCAGACGCGGCAAGGGCTGGCCCCAGCGCCGAGGGCTTCAGAAGTCACTTGTGCCACCCCAACCCCTGCCACGGTGACCGACAAAGCGGCCGGAGCTGGAGACCCGAGAAACGGCCCTTGAGTCCCCTCCCCTCACCTGGCTCGGTCCCACCTGAGGGCAAGAGCTGAGGAGGAAAGAAACGGGCTGGGAGGGCTGACCTTGTTGCTACTGACAGCGGAGCGGCACATCCTGCTGCTTCCTGGAAAGCGGCCCAAGGCACATTTTTCCCCCCGGGAGGAAGGAAACGGGAGGGCGCCGCCCGGGCGGCGACGGGCGCGGCGGCGGTGGTCCGCGCGGGCTGTGCAGCTTTGGAGGGGACGGTCCGAGGACTACATCTCCCAGGCTGCTCTGGGCCGCCCCGCGTCGTGACCCCGGTGCGCACGGAGGCGGTGACTCTTACCTCACAGAGGTAGCTCCTCCGCCGGCAGCAACTCGGCGCCCGCGGTCCATGGACCGGAACCTCGGGCCCGCGGGCAGGAACCCGGGCCGCGATCGTCGCCTCCCCGCCCCAGGCTCCTCCTCCTCGCTTCCCGCCGCCTCCTCCGGACGCCCGCAGGCCGCGCACCGCCGCTGCCGGGCTCCTGGAGCTGCCCCGAGAGGCTGGGTGGCGGGTTCGCGGCTGCCGCGGGACTGAGGCCTACTCCGCCGCCTCTCAGTGCTATTGTCCCTCTGCCCGGCCCTGACCGCGTCCACCGGAGAGGCGAGTGCTCCGGCTCCGCGGAAGATGCCGGACCAAGCGCTACAGCAGATGCTGGACA